AGTGTAAAGTTCGAGTTATAAATTGTGACAAGTTAAACAAAACCAAACCTATTTAAATTTGATATATCCATACATACAGCCATAACATAACGGATATCCGCTATTCATCAATCGCAAACCGATCCAAGAACTTAAAGGTTCGAAGTCCCTCCTTGATATCCTTGGCAAAGGCATCCCCAGCGCTGGAAGCAGTATACACACCCTCACGGTCCTCAGAAACGAGCCCGGACTTTAAAGCAGCAGAGCCCTTACCCAACGCACCAACAGTCTTCCCGAACCGGAAAGCATCGATCAGAATATCCAAAGGCCGACCAGCGGGATACAAAGACGACGCGCCGGAAGCCTTGCTGGGTACGCTAGTGAAAGACTTGGATCCAAACAGACCTTCCGCTCCGTCTGCAACAACAATAGCATCAAACTGCACCGCATCAGATGCCGAATAAGTCTGGTCAACATCCTCCGCCATTCTCTCAGCAACAACAACGACATCAACGCCCGCAGACGAAAGAGCAGATTGCAACTTCGCGCCTTGCGCAATAGAAGCGGGACTATCAACAGACGCAAGAAGTCCAACCTTCAACCCATCCAATTTGGCGAGTTTCTGTCCAAAGGCACCGATATGCGCGGTCGTATTGTCGTGGTAGAAAGAGTCATCTGGCTTCGGCGCATCAACGCCAATGGCCTTCGCGACGCGCGTGGCAAGGTCATTGCTGATGCGGTTTAGTTGGATGATTACGTTGTTGCGGACGACGTTGCTCTTGACGTTGGAGGTCTCGAATCGCATTGCGTCGACGACGAATTGCTTCTCGGCTGCTACGAGCGAGTTCCAGAATAGTCGTGGCTGAGACCAGACGTCTTCGAAGGTTGAGCTGACGGTGCGTTGGAGCTTGCCGCTTGCTTTGCGATCTGGGGCTGTGAAGAAGCCCTTGCCGACGGTTTGGTTGGCTTGTTTTGGGGAGCCCTTGTTTTCCGTGTTGGGGGAGTAGGCGTTGGGGTTTAGGGGGATGAACATTTGGCCTGGGATTGTTAGAAAGGGGGCCTGGAGTGGGGTTGGGATCGTGGTAGGTACGTACCTGCTCCGTCGCGGTTGTTGTTGTGAATTGGTGCGCGGGGACGGTTGATGGGGAGCTGCTCGAAATTGGGACCGCCGTGGCGGTTGAGTTGGGTGTCTAGGTAGGAGAAGAGACGGCCTTGGAGGAGGGGGTCTTCGGTGAAGTCGACGCCGCGGACGATATGACCCGGTTGGAACTAATAAATTAGTATTATTCGTGAGTAATGATGGGTCAAGGGTCGAGATGTACCATGACTTGCTCTGTTTCAGCGAAGTAGTTCAAAGGGTTTCGGTTCAGTTGCATCTTGCCGAGCTTCGTGACAGGAACGAGTTCTTCCGGCACAATCTTGGTGGGATCCAAAAGATCGAATCCAAATCGAAGCTGGTCCTCTTCCTCCATGATTTGAACACCGAGCTAAGGAATAATTAGTAATAATTGCGACGAAGATGCGGTTATTACATACCTCCCATTCGGGGAAACGTCCAGCTTCAATAGATTCGAAAAGATCCTGACGCATAAAGTCCGCATTTTTACCAGCGGTCTGCTGCGCTTCCTCCCACACAAAGCTAGCCTTGCCCTGCAATCCCTTCCAGTGGAATTTGACAAGCTTAGTCTTTCCATCGTCGGTAACCAGACGGAAGGTGTGCACACCAAATCCATCAACGTGACGGAACGAACGAGGAATACCGTGGCCAGCCATTGCCCAAAGAAGGGTGTGAAGTGCACTAGGCTGCTGACTGAAGAAGTCCCAAGCCGAGTCGTGCGCGGTAGCAGCTTGGGGGATCTCGTTGTCGCCGCGAGGCTTGACGGCGTGAATGAGATCGGGGAACAGGATGGCATCCTGGATAAAGAAAACCGGGACATTGTTTCCAACAATATCTAGATCCAAATCAGTTGTGATTTTTGTTTATCAGAAAGGGGTCCGCCGCACCAAAGTTTCCTTCATCAGTATAGAAGCGAGTCGCAAAGCCATGAACGTCTCGCGCGGTATCTGCACTTCCACGACTACCAGCAACCGTGGAGAAGCGCGTAAACATCGGGGTTTGTTTGCCCTTGGCAGAAAGGAAAGATGCGGCAGTTATGTTGGACCAGTCGCCGTAGGAGGTGAAAGTTCCGTGGGCGCCGGCGCCTCGAGCGTGAACGGCGCGTTCCGGTACCTTGAAAAAAAAAAAACATATATGAGCTTTAGAACTTCAATTAAAATGCAGAAAACATACTCGTTCATGATCGAAGCGTTGGATCTTCTGACGGAAAATGAAATCCTCGAGCAGGGTCGCTCCACGCTCTCCTGCGCTGAGACTGTTTTGATCCTCAATCGGGCCGCCAACGTCAGAGGTCAGATAGACGTCTTGGTCCTTGAGGTAGAATTGGGAGAGAAATTCTTCAGTGTTGGCAGCAGCATCTCCGTCACCTCGGCGCTCGATGTGGGGATTGTCGCCGGCCTCACCAGTCATATAAGGACAGGCAGCATTGGCAATGCTAGCAAGGCCCGTAACGAGGGCAAGCACGTGCATTGCGACAGTTAAATGATATAACTTTTGATAAAAAGCTCAACTTGAATTAAATTGCGCAAGATTCAAACATCAAAAGATGAAAGATCCGGGGCTCACTTTATACTCCGGTTAAAATCCGATTCCGAGCAGGGAATTAAACCCACCTAGTAGACTTTATGCAGAAAGCCAATGGGAAGCTTCATAAGAATGGGATGACGCATAATCCAGGTACGGTTTATCAGGCATGGGTTGGCCATTCTCCAACCAGGAGCCGGTTGATTATTTCAGCACAACGGCCGAGACCAACAGTGTGATGCGATCGAATCATCTTTCACATATAGTGGGGCAGTTGTTGACCGTCTCCACGAGCCAAGGAGAAGAACAGAGAGACAATATGCATGCTTTGCTCCGAAATGACCGCTAGCTCGCCTCCATGGGAATACTGGCGTATTGGGCCCATATGCAGGGTATCGGCATCGGGTCATCATTTCCCCCGCTAGCTAGAAAACAGACTAAAGGATGTAAGCTGATTATTGAAAAACTGAGTCGGATTTGAATCGGAATCTTCGGATGAACCTCAAGTAAACAAAAAGTACGTAAAGGGATAGTGCAGGGGGGATGTCTTGGCGTTGATTAAGCGTCAGAGGCGACATTGGTCGAGGCCACGATGCTTGGTAATTGGCGAGTTACATCCGTGCAAAAGCCACTTAACGTCTGTTTGGACTTGATGCAGGGGATCTTCACCCTAGCGTCAGGGAATCATGTCTCATGTTGGATTAATTTCCTGTAACACTGGATGTCCGAGTACTCCATACTCAGTATAATTGTATGTTGTAATCTCGAAATTGGGGTCCTGGAAAATCAACAGGGATTAGGCTGCGGTGCTGATTATCAAGGCCAACTTCTGCACTTGATCCCTGCCGACGCACATCTCTACCATTTTAAGAACTTATCCACAATTCAGTGGGATCATCCGTGATAGGCCGTTTGTGTTGATAGCCAAGAATCTTGCATCCTCCGGGGCGACACGACAGAGTTAATTTTAGCTATCGGCAGCCTGCCCATGAGATATATTGCCCATGTGCCGTTCACTGACCGGCTATTGCTGGATTCGCGGGGATGAGCCGAGGTGCTTGAGGGGAAAATACCTTAGGCCCCTTGGAAGGAGATGAAAATCGTCCTTTGTCATCTTGGCAACTGCGATCTTTGCGTAAAGATTATGGATAGAGCTATTTTTAATGTGATACATGTATGATAGAGCTTTCGGCCGGTGAGTACGGAGTACGGAGTATGCCCGTAATGGTGAGGGGCCGAGAGATCTTTTGTTTTCGAATCCAGCAGAGCCATCACGCTGTTCAGTGAATGGAAGAATCATATCGTCATTGGATCCACCGCGCAAACAGGAAATATAGAGCTATGTTTGCAATAAGTCGTCAATGTTTCATTTTGACTACTCCTGTGTATAATTCAAAACAGTCGCAACTCCATGGGGTATACTCGGCCGATGACATAGCAGATCTATCCTCGAGCCATCGGGGCCACATCACTTGGTCCAGCGGGGTCACTGCGATCGACAAACCCATGTTTCGCATACAGCGGGACACCGGCCTTACTAGCATCGATATATGCTCCAACGCTCTCACGGTCCGCAATTTCACACCCCCAGCGAACAAGCATAGAGCCGGCCCCGCGACAGCGGTAGTCGGGATGCGTACCGAGCATATCAAGGTCTATCCAGGGCGTCAACAAAGGCACAGTCACACAACAGGTTGCCGCTAGTTGAAAAGCAGACTTACAGTAATGCTTCCGATCGCCCATCACACGCTTGCGCTCTTTCTCCAGCCCCCCAAAGAAAACATCGCAATCTTGACGAGGCATGTCTCCGTGCCAAGGCGGGAACCTAGCCCCGCGCTCGTTGGGCATGGCCAAGTCCCATTTCGCGTATGCGACTATCCGTGGGTGCCCTTGCGCATCTTTGGTATCGGGGTCAATGATTTTGACATATTTTTGATATGGCTTTGTGAGCATGTCGATGTGGTTGGCTTTAGTGAACCATTCGCGTGTCCCTGGCGTATCTGGAAATAGCTTGCGCATGCCGGGATCGCTGAACACGGTGAACCATAGCTCGGTAATGGCGGGGAGATCTTTAAGAGTTGCAAGCTCTAAGACTAGAGGGTTTGGGGTAGACATTTTGGCCTTCTTTTTGAGTTGGTTGTTGTCGAGGGGTAATCTTGGGTGTATGCAGTGGGGTCGACTGTAGGGAAAGCCGCTAGGTCAAGGCTGGGTTTATGATATTCCTATTGGAAGCGTGAGTCAGACGCAATGTACTGAAATGCAGGGATCAGAAGGGAATCTTCTCTTAATCATCTTACATGCAGGTCTGCATTTTATCAACCTTTCAATTATAAGCATAGCACATAAACAAAGGAGGCGCTACCCCTGTAGTAAGTATCACTTAGTATCTCGGGAAAGTAGCAAATTTCCACTTCTTCCCACCCCTGATCAACTGCGAATCCACACCATTGCTACCGCTGCTAACATACAGCACTTTGGTGAAGGCCACCTCGGTATAATACTTGAAAGCCACACCAACCGGGATGAAAGCCACATCGCCGGTGTACAAGGCCGCCACAGGGTAATCTCCAATCTGAATCATGAGCACGCCCTCCACAACCTCAAAAGCAGCAGCTCCAAGCAATATATATGTGGGCGTATTCGTCTTGGTCTGGCGACTGAGCGAGATGGTCGAAAGAGTGTAGTTGGCATCCTGGGACTGCTTAGTGACCAGAGGCTGGATGACCTGGTACCCATACTTGGAGCTCAGGTACTTGGGACCGTATCCATTCGCAACAAAGTATGGCTTGCCAGAGCCACGGAGAGCATCATCACCAGCGTGCCACTTCGAGTCATCAGGAGCGCTGCCGTTGACCAGATCGCGACGGGGCTCGAAGTCAAGCTGGGCGTAGACGTCGAACTTCTGCAAAGCAGGCATCATACCGGGGTCGGGTGACGAAGTGCCATTGGAAACAGCGGGAACAAAAGGGGTATCGGTGGCCGAGGTATAATTGGTTCCAATGGCATAGAAGAGTTCCCTTCTCAGGTTAGTCAAGTTTGAGCGAATTTGGTACACGCAAATTTACTCAAAGCCGCCAGGAACAATGATGCCAACCATTTCGGTGTCAGGGTCTAGAATCTGGAAGGTGTGGGTCGTGTTCCTAGGGACCGACCCATAGTCACCCGCTGTCAACAGGCGAGCTTGTTGCTCCTTTTTGCCCTTCTGCGCCCAGAGCTGGAACCGGCCCTTCAAATTGAAGAAATTCTCAGAATGCTTCTGGTGCATGTGCGGGAACACACCCAGTGCTCCGCTGGATGGGGCGTTGGTGCTCATCAGAGTGAACGCATTATCTGAAGAAGGGCCAGTCACTGTGAAGCGGTACAGCTGATCCCCAACGGTGACGGCATGCGAGTTTGCGTAATGCGGAATGACATAGGGTCGTGGGGAAGAGGGCGCATTTTGGAGATAGAGCTCCTCCAAGGTAGCGGACTGGACGAAGCTGCCGAATGAGGCAAGCAGAAGCAGCGAAGATGTCAACATTCTGATCTCAAATTAAACACGTGGGTCTGAATTTGAAGTAATTTCTGTGTCCAGGAACTTGCATGGGCGCTCAATATGTTTCTTTCTCCACCCTGGACTGGATTCGAAGGCTTAAATGCAGAACCCCTCATGTCGGATGAAGGCTCGGCAAATACGTATGGTCGATTTATCCGGGCCCGTATTCAAGGAATATCGAAGCAGCATATCTGGGTGTATATCATAAGATGCTGTATTGGGTTAAATGAGCTCGATATCCACCGCGGAGATTATATTTGCGGACGTCACATCTTGTTCCCATAGAAGTCCTATTGTAAGTTATCAACCGGGCCAGTCGCCGATTCGAGACAATGACAATTTAACCGGAATCATATGGAAACACGGGGTAAATTGGAAAGTTCTCTCCGTGGACTCTCATATATTGCTGTGTTTCGAATTAGCTTGGCGGCAGTCGTGCGACATTTTCGACGATCTAAAACGACCTAAGCTTGAGGGACCTAGAGCAGCTGTCATTCAGGCAGAAGCAAGAAAATGTTCCATAAGCTGATATCTACTTCCCGAATGGCGTCTCTTGTTTAATGGGTGGCTTCGGCTGGGATTTCCTGGACATGAAGGCGATCAATCCAGGGAAATTGAGGTGAAATGAATTTTGATATCGGTTTTATGGTTATATCTACAATTCCTATTTACATTGAATTTAAAAAAAGGATCGATGGACATACGGCAAGAATCAGCAAGCCCAGGTTTAAACAGATCGTCCTACCGTCCATGGATTAGCACTCTTGAGACACGCGTCTCAAATGAGCGGTAGCAAGTATGCGCCAACACTATATGGAGAATGTTAGCAATTGCATCTTCAAGGAATAGACAGAGTACACATACGAAATAGCCGCAAAGCAGGCACATAGGATAGCCCCCTCCATATAATTGGTCTTTCCTTTGAGGACGATAAAATCGACCATAATAACAGCCCCAATTAGTGTGACCATCTCGAACTTGTCAAAATGCAAGGTCATGGGCTTGTCAAGAGCCCAGCCAATAAGAACCATTGCAGGTGAAACCAAGAGACCGATTTGAATGGCTGATCCAAGAGAAACACTGATGGCAAGATCCATCTGGTTTTTCGAGGCCACAACAATCGCAGTGACGTTTTCGGCAACATTTCCGGCGATGGGAATGATGATTAAGCCGACGAATGATTCCCCAAGGACGCCCTGTTCATTGAGTGTTGAGAAGCTCGAGGCAAAGAATTCGGCGCATATAGCGATGAGAATTGTTGATAGGGCGAGAAGTGTTACGGATATCATTCGGCTAGACGTTTTAGCGTAACGTTCACAGGAACATCCGAGAATGTCTCCGATGGGTTCCGTTTGTCTGTGGAGGCTGGTTCTTCCTTCGGATAGACCGTTGTGAAACAGTGGCATTGCTGATGCCGTCTGTGCATCGACTGAACATGATCGTGATCGCACCTCTTGCATCTCTAGATGGGGAAGTTGTCTGCTCGTTGCATTTGCGAGTTCGGTGGGATGCGATTCGAGGTCGGTATATTCATGATCATCGGTTGGCGGTGGTACTTGAAGCCGCGTAGAGAGGAACAAGTGAGCGTGTGATTTGAACTGGAAGAAGAGGTATAAGAAGTATGTGCCGAGGAGGATGATGGACACCCCCCTGCTGAAGGATAATGACATATGATCAGCAGAGGATACGCTCTTCACGCTGCCATAGAAAGCGCTCTAGGTTCAATATTAGCATCCAATGCAATTAGGATACTTGAGACATCGCCTTACTGGAATCATAAGGCAAGATATTGTGAGATTGAGAAGTCCCACAAATGAGTGTGTGAGATCGGTGTTATACGTCACATCACTCTTAGAAATACAGCCTGCGATGATCGCAGACCCGAGAACGAGCAGGAGGTTCACAAGGATGGAGCCAAGGAGTGATGATTGGACTACTTTGATGTTGTTTTTCAACAAAGCAGTGCTATAGAAGATTAGTTTCCACTCAGCCTCAAGGCTGTCAACTTGGTGCTTTATGCGAACTTACACGCTATACGATATAGTTAGTATATATTGATTGGAAACTATGGTACTTCCAAGGTTGGGACTCACAAAATGATAAGCTCCGCTAGATTTCCTATGGTGATGTTGAGGAGAGCGCCAGCGGTCTCACCCAAATCCATAGAGATCCTCTCAGTGGCTTCTGTGAGAGTGATCGACAGCGGCACAATAGCAAGGAGGTTCCAGATGAATATTACAAGCGCAGGGCTTTTGGTTTCGGAGATAACGATTGACGATGCGGCGAATGCACCTGAGAAGATGATCCTGGGACTGAGAATCTGTCTAGTCTGTTGTCTGAATATGGATATCGCATTGCAGGGTCTGCCGTGGTGGGGCCAACCAGACAAGCCTTCGTCATCGGGAGTCGGTGCTTTGTCTTTTCGAAGAAAGTTTTTCACTTTATGGAAGATGTCGTTGTTGTCTGAGCCTGAGTTCGCAGAGGCCAGCTCGGCTTGTCCTTGATAACGATAAGAAGTTAATATCAGCCTTGGCCAGAGGAATTAGAGAGTACAGGACTCACTGCTCATTTCATATTGACAAGGATAGGAACCACTTGACCTAGAGTCGGATTCGAAGGAAGTATTCAGGGCGGCATGCTCGTCACTTGTTGAGCTTTCAGCGAAAGGATTGATGTTATTATCGTTGGAACCATGCACTGTGGTCATCATGAAAAAAAAAGGCCCTCAAAAGAAACGATCGAAACCACTATATAAATGCCAAAATTGAGGGCAGACTGGCCATCTGAATCTGAAAACGAGAGTTTGTAAAATGAGCGTGTTGCATTGGGGTTGCGGGAATTGATTATCGACACGCGAGATGATGCACAACCCCTTTTTCTTAGTGGCACACCTGTTTAAACCAGTTTCGAGTTAGCGCCTCTTGGCTAACCATGTAATTCGATATAATCTTCCCCTTATACAGCGCATAGTGGGTTATGTGGGGGCCATACGCCGCCTACTGACCGCCTACCGTAGATACACTAGTGCCCTCTCCGATCAGCGGAATATTGAAGAAAATAGACCTATCTCAAGATTTGTCCCCAATGAAGTAAATGTATAGAAATGACGATAAATCATATGATTCCATTGCTTTTTTTCTTCAATATTGATTGTGAATTGGACAGAAGAAATTTGATAAAAAATTATGCTATTTTAAGACCGGCAGTACCGGCAGTACTGGCAGAATAAAAAGGGCGGTGTTGGACCCCTGCGAAGAGCCCCACTTTATGTTAGATATGCAGTCACGTGGAAGTGGGGGCTAACGGTGCTAATCCCAAAATAGCTTAAGGTGGTGCCGCAAATAAAAAGGGGTGCGGATATCAATCATTTTTCAACATAACCAATCCGAAGCTATTATATCTAGGCTACAAGAACAAATTCAGCCATCTTCTACCCCCACTAGGGAATCCAATCACGACGTGAGTGATGGAGGGGAATAATGACGGAAAATGCGTGTGGAGAAAACAAGGCTGGAAGCCAGTTGATGATCTATCTCTAGCGGACATTGGATGCAATAATCCCCGCAGAGATTGGCGGGCTGGCAACCTTGGAATACGATTACGCGTGGAAAAGGGGCTCAGCCCTTCAGGGCTGCCCCCGGGGCCATATTTGATGACATAAAACATAAAACTGGGGCTTCCGAAAAGGGTCGCCAAGACTTACCTCAGAATAGGTATCTTTCGATGTGTACGTTTTCAGTCGGCGGCAGAGATAAATCCATTGATAAAACTAAGCTGCCGAGAGAGATTACAAAAATTGGCACGAGATTATCACACCATCTTGAATTTGACGTCACGAGCCCTCATACAATATTCATCCGGGTTTGAGTAAATTCAAGTAAACAACTATTTATGTTTGCTAGTTTTGTACACCAGTCGCTCTAAGAATTCAAACATGACAATATAACAGGCCAGCCAGATTAAACGACAGTCAGATGATTGTTTGTCTAGAAAAAAAGACTACATGTACTTAACTACCCCGTCGAATCACCACTACGCTAAATGGTATCCATTGATATGACTATATGACCTGCCGGTATATACCTAGGTACATTACACTGTGAGCTTTCGAATTTGTCCAACGAGATCGATCACAGTCTCCTTGAAGGGCCGATATTTCACCCCCAACTCCCGAGCTACAGTATCGCCATCGATCCCGTAAGAGCCAATCGGCTTCTCACCCATCTTATAATTCGTGGTCACAGTCTCCTTCGCCCAGTCGAACTCATCGCGAATGATATCCGCAGCATATTCGTACGAAAACGGCTCCGGCGAAGCAGCCACAAATCTCTTTCCACCAGCCTCGGGCGTAAGCAAAGCCTGAACATGCACCTCAGCGAGGTCGCGAGCATCAATCCAACCGGGAACCCGCGTTATAGGAAGTGGATCTGCACCTGAGGCCACACTCCAGAGGACCATGTTTGACTCGTTGAGCTGCTGCACCGTCGGTACGGGGTGCACGACTGGGCCGAAAACCATAGGAGGACAAAGAGTCACCAGGTCAAATTTGGTTTTGTGCTCCTTGACAAACTCCCATGCTGCAATTTCGGCGAACTTCTTTGAGCCACGGTACGCGGTGACAGAGTCGGATTTCGGATCGATTGCCTCCTCGTATGTCAGTGGGTTCCAGTTCGCGGCAGTATAAGTGAATCCTGGTTCCGGAGTGCTGCCTGGGTTCACCACTGAGGCGAAGGAGGATGTCATGACAAGGCGCTGGACCTTTGATCCTGGCTTGGCGGAGGCGGAAAGAATTGACTTGACTCCGTTGATGGCGGGCAAGATCAACTCCTGCTCGTTGTTGGTGGTGTCATAGAAGAAGGGCTGTGACAGATGTTAGCACTTTTAGGCAGTCATAAACAAAGAATTGTGAGTTGCCTACGCTCGCTACATGGATGACTGCGTCAATGTCGTCCATCACGGAATCGAAAACACCAATCTGAGTGAAGTCTTCCACAACGACAAAATCAAGCTTTGAGGCGTACTGCGGACGTGCAGCCTTCATCTGATCTCCCTTCTGCTTTGATCTTGTCGAACCTCGGACTGAGAATCCACGAGAAAGGAGGTTGTCGACGACATGGGCGCCGATAAATCCTGTGGCGCCAGTGACGAGGACATACCTGTGATGTTCAGTACTGATCGCACAGTAAAGAGTATACCAACTTACGAGGGCTTTTGGGAAGACATTTTTATTAGGTATAGGTGTCTAATCGAAGGGGTAGGATGAATGACGACAAATTTTATCCAGGAATGAAGTTGTTATAGTAGTGCCCACCCCGCGTGGGGGGAAATCCGAATCTGCCTCGGGGTTGGTGCTCAACGCGAGATTGATATCCACAATTGCTGTTAGTGTGGGGGAAAAAGATAAGGCTGGAAATGTAGGTTGAACAGAGAGGATCTATGGGTCTTATTGATATAATTGATTGTTTATTTAGTCTAGATATGGATGTATAGGTGATATCAATCATCACGTATCTATATATCCCACATCACTTCCAATTCACTTCTTTTCCTGCAGGACCTCCTCCGTTGTACGGACGATAACATCAAAGGCATTGCGGATATACTTCTCTTCGGCCATAGTATTGGCACTCACCACCCGCATAACACAGACACCATCAACAACTGTAGAGGTCAAGAAGATCTCGCCTCGCTCGTTGACTAACTCAGAGATCTTCTTGGTCAGATCGTTAGAAACTTCATCTTTGGCCACACGACCAGATGGCCCGTGAGATATAGCCTGGGGGTTCTTGACGCGGAAGACGGTCAAGCCAAAGCCTGGCTTTGTGACCATCTCAAATATATCAGACCGATCGCGCACAAAGCCAGCAAAAAGATCACCAAGCCCGATCGTCTTGCGGATGTGCGCTTTCATGCCATTGAGACCATAGCTCCGGATCACGAACCAAATCTTTAGTGCACGGAATCTGCGGCCGAGAGAAATAGACCAGTTCCGGTAGTCAATTACGGTTCCCATATCAGAGTATGGGTTGCGCAGATATGTTGGTGTAATATCCAATGCGTTCGTCAGATCTAAGCGATTCCGGACAAAGAGGACGCTTAAGACTGTTAGACCAAAGATAGAAATTTGCCGACAGACCATTGGAGTGAATAGCTTACCTAGCATCGAAGTTGACCAGCAGCCATTTGTGTAGGTTCATGTTGAAGCTGTCAACACCCTCCGCAAAGTCCTTCGCAATATACTGCCACTCGTCGGCAACAAGCGACGCGCCAGCATAGGCAGCATCGATATGCACCCAGATACGCTGCCACGCCGGCTTTTCTTGCAGAACTGCCTTGAGCTCCGCAAATCGGTCCACACTGCAGGTATTCGTTGTACCAAAGGTCATAGTGAGATGGTACGGGGTAAGTCCGTCCTTATCGCACTTCTCAAGAACCTCACGGAGACGAGGTCCAGTCATTTCCATGTTATCCTCCAGCCGCGTGGTCACGCCGCGGAAGCGAGTACCCGCAACCAAAGCACCCTTAGCAGCGCTGCTGTGAGTTTGATCACTGGCAATAGCGACTAGCTTGGCTTGGACATCGAATTTGCGGTCCTCGTACCCTGGAGTACCCTCCTTCATGCCTTCGGCAAGCAGCAGCTCACGCACACGTCTCTCCCGTGCGGCGACAATAATAGTTGCAATAGCGTCACTCGCACTGTTCTGGATGACACCGCCACCGTGGGTCTCTGATGTACTGCGGAAACACTCGGGTAGTGCTAGAGCTTTCGCGACCCAATCCATAACAATGGTTTCCATCTCGGTGCAGGCAGGCGAGCACAACCAGTTGAAAGCAGGAGCGGTGAATGTGGCGGAGTACATCTCACCCAGAATGCTGGGGTATGTCACACAGGCAGGGTAGTATGCCATGAAATTTGGAGACTGCCAGTGGGTCAAGCCGGGTTTGATCTTGGTGTCGACATCTTCTTGGATTTGCGCCCACTCCTCTGGCTCATCAGGGGGGTTTTCTGGGATCAGAGGGCGAAGGTATCCGGGCTCGACAGCGGGCAGGACTCGGCGCTCGGGCACGCTGTCGAAGTACTTGACGACTGCACGAAAGTTTGGTTAGATTGAACACCATTGAGACTGACAATTTCACAGAGATAGGATGACGCGTACTATCATCAATGGCAGAGTGAGCCGCAGTCTTGAACTGGTCGCGATCCATACTGCACGTCAACTAGAGATCTGCGACGTGGGGTAATTTTTCTATGCAGCTGTGAGTGCGGCAATTGGTGGGACAGTACAATACAATATAGGGAAAAATATGTAGAACAATGGCACAAGTAGAATATGTGAGATTAGGGTCACAGCGAATGTTTCAAAGCAAATGTGGGAAAAGCAGAAATGTCGAAAAGGCGCGGGGAGAACTGGAATTAATTCCGTCGGAAGCTCTTTCCGTGTTCCGAGCTCTCGGAATATTCCGCTTTTTCCGAGAAGTATAGAACTGGACCTTTGGTTCCCAAGTGTACATCTCCTAAATTAATCTTCCTCTTCCTTGGGATCATAAATGTCGCCCGCAGGTGTTTTCTCCAATCTCTTCCCATCCTCCGTCACTATCTCCTTACTAGGGATAACCACCACAAAGACCCGAGCAACATCCTTGCCTCTATTCACCCATTCGTGGTTTGCGCCGCGGCAGACAATGACATCGTGCTGATTTAGAATCTTCTCTTCGCCTCCATCTGTGATGAATCCGACGGTTCCAGACAATACTACCGCGTAGTCTAAGCTCAGCGTGCGATGGAACCACCCTGCATCTGCCGGGGGTAGATCAAGAATGCGGCAGGAAGGTCCCTTGGTGTCAGCCAGCGGGACGAGAGTCTTGTGCGGATCGGAGAGCTGGCGCATATTATCCACAGGAAAGCCGCGCGACCGGTGAATCTGGATAACCCCGAATCCAGAGTCAGGCCCTGGGGTTGAGAATGCCGGAGCAGAGGTGGGATCGTAGGGTGTCAAGATTTCGTCGGAAGCGAAATAACCCTTTCCCTGAGCATCGTGGCCTGTGATGACACGACGGATTGGAGTATTCATGGTAAGAGAATTAGGTATTTGGAATGACTATTGGACAAAAGGAGTTGAGAGGGTCTTCGAAGCGACGAGTGAATAATATGAAAGAGCATGGAAAAGAAGTCACGCTGGGGACTTCCTCTCTTTATATATAGAAATGAACTTCATCAAGAACTCCATAGAATAGGCGTGCGGTCCCATTTATAATCATGAGATTGGTAAGACTGGGGCTGAAACCCGACAATACTGCAAGGATAGTGTTTTGGGGCCATTCTGACTGCTGACAAAACACCGTCGATCTACTGTTGACATACTTTTAATCAAGAGTAAATATCTGGAGACAAGACCTTCGCTGTTGTTTACCTAACCTCATTTAAATCCCCTGGGTGTCTTTCTCGTACTGTTGTCCAACCCCCATCACATACCTCCGCATTCAGGTCCTTCCTCATTGTCTGGTTGATCAAATCCCTCATCATATACCTCAGCTTCCAGATCCTTCCCCTGGATATTCAGCTTTTCCATTGGTAAATACACAAACAGCATGCGACACCATTTTGTGTCACTCACGTTTCGGAACGAATGTGCAGTGCCCCTTTGCACACTCACATCGCCACGATGCATACGCCGACTAGCACCCGAGTCCAATAGGAGATCAACATCCCCCTCAATTATCACCCCATAGTCGACGCTCACTGTCCGATGCATTGGAGTCGCCCTTCCCGGACGGAGATCAATCAGACGGAAAACGGTTCCGCCATCCACTGTGATTCCAGGAGGTTGATGCAGGAACTCGTCGTACATGGCAACATCCGCCTCGGCATCAACCGAGGCTGGCATAGTTGTCGTAGCGTATAGCAGGGCAATCTCGCCATCATCCCCACTTGGCGTCGATGGGAGGTAGTCGGGAACTTGCGCATGGGAGAGAAATACTGATTCGCCCTCGGTATTGTGGGTGGTGATGTAGCGGCGGATATAAGGGAGGTCGTTCTTATGGTAAGGCATAATGGGACGATAGAGATGGAATTTGATGAAAAGGAAAGTGGTGTTAGGTCAGGATGCATCAAAAGTTGTGAGTTTGGAGTTAGGAAGTTGCAAATACGGAAATTCTGTCACATCATGGTGGCATCATGGCTTAAATTAATGGAATGCCCAAGTAGGATTAAGCATAATTCGATTCCAAAGTTGAGCAGAAGTCAATCGCCACACACAATGTAGGTATATTCTATACATGTGCAGGGCCTTTGGCTATCATCTGCTCAAACTTGTTGTTCAAATGATTCTCCAACATGCGTTTGTGCCCATCCGACACCTTCATCTTGTCCTTCATGCCGTTGGCTAATTTCTCAATACACTCATCTAGGCTAGGGCCACCCTCGAATGTTGAGTCGTCTTTCTCAGCAGCGACTGCTTCATTCCAAAGATCCGTCAAGTCCTCTGCCCACCCAAGTGCATCAGCTAATTGACGAACACCATCGTCGCAACTTCCGAGGATGCACACATCTTCGTCTCGATTACCCAAATCTCCTGCTTTTTCGTTGTTGATCAAAACTCGAGGAATTCCCTTCTTCACTAAACTTGGCAGCCTAGAGCAAGGTGCCACCTTCAAACTAGTTCCCATGACAATCATCAAGTCCGCCTCGAGGACTTCTTTCTCCTTTTCGTCAAACTCAGCTGGCAGAGCCTGCCCAAAGAATACAACATTTGGCTTCACTGCACCCCCGCACCCGGTCTCAAGACAATACGGAACTTCGCCTGTTCGAACCGCTTTGTTCATGAGATCATCGGGATATGGCGATTTGCACTTATAGCAATGTTGGCTTTTCCAATTTCCATGAGCCCAGAGAACCTTTTCAGTGGGAACCCCGGCATCTTGCTCAAGCCCATCAATATTTTGAGTGAAAAGAAAATGGAGCAGATTCTTCTTCGCTAGCAGTGCCAGGAAAGCATGGGTGACAGTCGGTTTGAGAGTTCCTGGGTGACGTGCCCGGGCAATTGCGTAGAATGGCTCAGGCGTGTGGGAGAAATAATTTATGTGAAAAATCGCCTCTGGGTATGGGAGTCGTAGTGGAGCGAGCTTATCATACAGGCCTGTGTTTGGAGATCTGAAATCTGGGATCCCGGCGCTAGTGCTGATTCCAGCGCCAGCCAAGACGACAATTCGTGTGGCCTTTCCGGCCTTGATCCGGTCGACAATTGATTGGATGTCGGGTTCCATACTAGCCATTGTATAATTTGAGATCCGGTCGGACATCCTTTCAAGTTTGGGTATTGTTTGCTCTGGTTGATGGTTGGAAGCAAATGATTGTTTTGATTTTGGAGCATCAAAACAGAGGGGTACGGCAGTCTAGCCAGTGCATATTGTAAAGAGGGGTTTTTGTCGGCGCCTTGCTGCCTCAGGTTGCTAGCAGAGCCTCATGATCGACTAAATCATATATGCTATATTTTCATCGTCTACCCAGTCAGACAGGAGAATCACCTTTTATTACTCGCTTGGCAAAGCAACATTTGTCAACTCGGTGAGCAAGTCAGTCCAGTCTGGGGTATTCCACTCAACATTGCCGCTGCTATCTAGCATCTCCGCCCATATGTCTTCCAGTGGCATTGAACTAAGCAATGCATCTGCTGAAGGGCCCACAGTCGATTGGCCATTAGAAAATTCCGGAGGAAACGTGACGCCCTTGGAACACAATGAAACAGGTGTGGGGATATCTGGCTGTGGAGCAATGGCTCTCGTGGCATTTAAATTTGGAGAGGCAGAAAGTTCCTGTAAGTCACGAGAGCTTGGTCTTTTTTCGTGTTTCCAATGCCTTCGCAAGATCCCCATCATGGCATTGATTCCCTCACGTGCGGTGGGTGAGGATTGTTGTGCCCGGCTGAGCATTCGACAAGCGTCGAGTACTTCCTCTTTTCGCTTCTCGGCCAAAATGTCATCCCAGTTGAAACACACATCTATCAGAAGGATGGCAGCTGCCATGAATACGTGGTGCATGACTGCCCATATGACCGAGCTATGCGGTGTGAACACAGGCTCTTCCTCATCCATAATGCGTTTTACTTCAAGCACCTTGCGCGCGGACTGAAGAGATACGACATGCGAATAGGAATACTTGGGGTCCTTTGCTCCGCGTACGAGATAGTGGCGATGCAAGCGACATAGCCGTGAATGAAAGCCCTGCTGTACTAGAGCTCGCTGCCACGCGAGATTTGGCCGCTCACGATAAAGCGCCGAGTTCTCACGCCGGGAGACTTGGTCAAAGCGAAAGTAGTTGGGAACCTCTGTGTATATCTTGTGAAGCTTTTGATCGAGCTCGAGTATCTTCTCATAAGGTACCTCTTGTCCATAGAGATGGTAGTGTGACGTTTCGTCCACTATTTGGCGACACACAACAGCCAACTTCAATCGACATAGACTGAATGACATTGCGGTTGGAGTAGAAAGAGGAACACCATTCTCGCTGCGCTCGATTTCCTCATCCTCAACATTAAGAGGTTCTTGTACAACCATATGCTGAGGTTGGATCGAGTAGGTCCACTCTTGGGGTCCGCTCAAAAAGCCTATTAACCTTCAGATATCATCAGTCATAGTACCGGCAAGGTCTCTTTCTAACAACGTACCAATCATATGTTGCCAAGTCCCACCACAGCCGTCGTTTGAGTTCAACACTAGTTTTATCAAATTTATTTGCTGAGCGTTCGGCCACAACCCGAGGAGAGTCCACAAGATGAAGCCCCATACTAGTGGCTTGACTCACAAATGACCTATGCACAAATAAAGGACTGACGGAAGAGGGAAAGTTCATATTGGACAGATAATGACCAATAATCATAGTCGCTTGCAGTCCTTCAAGACTGGGATAAGGGATATAATTGCTCTGGATCAATCCGGCGCCTGCCAAAAATGTGCATTCTTGACTGAATGGTTCCGCGTGCTCGGGCGACTCTATCAGGAGTTGGTAATACAAGGCGGCAGCGGTGATGCTGAATAGCAGCGCAGTATGAGCCATATTTATAGTCTCATTTCGCGCAACACGGTCATAGATTGTTTCAATTTGTTGCTCCACACGACTGGGTATGATGACATGATACTGGAAGTCAAGATATTTACAAAAATACCGAAATAGACTCAGTGCTTCTGCCAGCGGTGGTAAATACGAAGGAAGATGAATCGTCGCCGGATTCTCACGAGAGGCGAGCCGTTCACAAATCGCAGGAAATCGATCGCCAGGTGTAGTATTTTGCTGTGTAGGCGAGCGCTCGGGTTCCTGGCGCTGGGAAAGCTCCGCCCTCAGCGTGGCGGGGACTGCACTCGGGACGCGGTGTCCCATAACAATAGTCTCAAGCCAATCGGCTGTCAAAAGGGGCTCATTTCGATTGCGGTTTTGCGACTCTGTGTCCTGTTGTGGAGTCCACTGCATGGTCCGAGGTGATTCAGACACGCGACCGTTCAACATAGGTCGTACGGGCGTTGCGCTCGAGCTGTAGCCACCATAGCTGCATTCCAGTTTTCGTGCAGTGCAGCTACTGCATGGAAGCCCTCTGTCGCACTTCAGCTTTTTCTTTCGACAGGACTCGCAGGAAACGGGGTCTTGTCGAGAGGGTCTTTTCGAGCCTGGGGTGGCGACCCCATCATCGGGTTTTCGTTTCATGTTATGAATCTTCCTGAAAATATTTCATGCGTCGTTGGAACTGCGAAGGCAAAAAGGCTGTGGGATCATCGTTTGTTTTGCGCAGGAGAGAGCTTGTAGAAGCTCGTCTGGAGATTCCGCGGATTGTCCGAGACACTAAACCACATCCGGCGATTGTGTCTCCGGGCATCTAAACAGTAGCTCGGAGACTCCGAGCGGGAATCTTTTACCTCGCAGATGTAATTAGTCGGAGTTCTTATAAAGAAAATGGCCTCCTGTAGTGCTTTTGCTTCGAACCAGAGCAATTTCTCCGTCCTTGAGATTCCCAATGACTGGCAAAATGGTACCGAAAGATAGTCCGACTGAATACACGTACGTGAAATATGCTTAAGCTATGATATCGCTAATTACTGACTCTTCTAGGACCCGAGCATGGCTGGTCATATTCGGCGCCTTTACGTGTACCTTTTGCACCGTGGGATTTATGAACTCGTTCGGTATCTTTCAAGAGCACTACACAAAGAATCAGCTATCGTCAAGTTCCACATCTACCATCGCATGGCTCGGGGCCATAGCAATCTTTTTCTTGTTCGCTACGTCTGTCGGCGCGGGAGCAATGCTTGATATTTTTGGGCCAACGGTAAGGTTACTCTTCCTCGAGGATTGGGAAAGAAGTTAATGATCCTCTCTGACAGTTGATGGTATATGTTGGCTCATTTGGGTGTGTTTTTGCACTTATGATGATTTCACTATGCGAAGAATTCTATCAATTTCTACTCGCCCAGGGTGTCGTGCTCGGTATTTCAATGGGTCTGGTGACATGGCCAATGCTCGCATTGGTCGGACAATATATCAAATTAAAGCGTGCTGCGGCGATGGGGATTGTTCTTGCGGGTTCGTCGCTCGGCGGAGTCATCTGGCCCATTGCAATCGATAAACTGATCAATGCTCCCCATATTGGCTTTCCCTGGACCATGCGAATCGTTGGTTTTATCATGATTCCTTGCCTCATCTTCTCTTGCGCAGTTGCCAAATCTCCGATGACGCCTACAACTAATGTGGAGAGTCGCAATTTAAAGCGTGAAAGCGACGAAAATACCATTGAAGAAAAGGACAAATCGCAAAGTCACATAGCAGAGACCGTGGCCCTTTTACGAAAGCCATCGCTACAGCTACTGTGCCTCGCCATGTTCACTACATTCTTTGGCATGTTCTCGCCGTTCTTCTATACGACTTCTTACGCGGTTGAGAAGGGTTTCTCGACATCGCTGGCATTCTATACTGTTTCCATTGTGAATGGCGCTTCATTCTTCGGCCGAGTCCTCCCCGGCATCGTTGCTGATAAGTACGGGAAATTCAACTGCTGCATTATAGCCACTATATCCGCAGGGGTTGTTGCATTGTGCTGGACCAAGGTGACATCTGTGGCCGGTCTGGTAATTTGGTCCGCTGCATACGGATTTGCGTCTGGAGTGAGTTATTCTCGAATGATAATACACTTCGAATACTGACTATATCTCTAGGGCATTTTATCCCTCCAGCAAGCTTGTGCCGCCCAGGTTGCTACTTCTACCACTCTTGGTTTGGCAATCGGGACTGTGTCAGGTTCCACAGCTCTATCGTATGACCACCAATGCTTGAAATGATAATGATAATTCGAGATGCTGACACGAACTGCAGTGCTATGGCAAATGTACCTATTGGTGGTGCTCTACTTGAAAAATATGGGTATCTCTCCCTGTCAATATTTTCGGGGACATCCTTGCTACTAGGTGGTTTCCTGTTGATTGCTGCACGTCTGGTACAGAACAGACAACTTCGAGCTATAGTGTAGGCCTTGGCTATTAGGGCGAGTTGCTGGTTTTCTGAGTACTCCAGCATATCCCACCAAGGCGGAATTGATAGGGGGGTTGCCCCGTTAGCAGTATCGGGCTTTAGGAGAGATGGCAATATTGCTCAGGGATGACTATGGCTCGAAGATATTTTATTTGGGTATAGACTTGCTGCACATTAATGATAGAATTTCGATTCCAATATAATACAGTTCCCTACTTTCATGTTTATTTAGGAGGCGGATTCCGAAGACAGGCACCGCAGGCCTTTGGCGCCAACCGGGTTTCGCTGGTAGAAGGTTAACCAGCTGCCCTCAACATTTATATATATATATATATATATATATATGTAGTCTCTTAAAGGTCTGGAGATAGCTCGTATCAAATGTGCCCCTGTAGCAATATTAGAGGATTGCTAGCCGTCATATTCTAAAAGACCACGGGAAAGACCGTAAAAAGGACCGATAGAAAGATGATAACAAAGTGGTTTTTACAGTAGCACTAGACTTTATCTACGGGATTTACGAGCAATTTAGATATTCTAAGTGTTTTAGAAGGCATATATCGAGTTCATAAAATAATTCGAAACGGAGAATAATCTCCTGCTTATGTGGGCTTGTACAGAGGTTGGCACGATGGACCCCCGTAGATAGGGCCAGAATGTATTTTCATCTATTGTCGACGTGGTACTTAGGGCAATTTGCTAGTGTCCTAAAGATTGTCTTTGGGTTCGGAAGTTGAATTTTATCTATATATATAGATAACAAAAGAAGGTTCCAATATTTGCAAGGGGTACTAATCTTTCGAGCGGCTGCGAAAAGCTGCTCAGCCCGAGGTCACATGAAGAGGGCCGTTTCCGTCATCGACAGGGCACCCGTCGCTGTCAGAGTCGAATTCGACGGCACAGCTCGCGTCCTGACCAATAGCGATACCAATGAATTGTGTATCGGTATGTCCCTCGCCGGCACCGAGGGTATTGCCATCGCCGTCCTTGACCTCACAGGTCTCAGGGTGACCTCCAAAGTTTGATTTGCATTTAAACTTGCGTGGGGTTGCCCAGCAGTCACCCTCAATGGTGAACTCGCGGCCGTCGCCGGTGTTGTAACAGGGGGAATGATCGTCAGGATATGCCTGGTCGTAGATAGCCTCACCGGCCTCATTCAGGATTGCAAAGCCTTCGAAGCGGCCATTTGTATTGCCGCCGGCGGGACCAGAGATCGTTGAAAAGGAACCGGTCGACCAGACGACCCTCAAGCGCTCGGCGTAAACGGTTGCGGAAGCAGCCATCAGGCAAAGAAGAGTGCTGCGAAGAGATGGCATTGTAATATGGGAATTGAGATCTCAGGATTGAAGGTATATGAATGTTTGTTTTCGTTGATGCTCTTCTCTTGCTGGTGCCATTCAGAGGTTTTTATATGTCCACCAAGTGGCATTCAAGCCCCTGGGAGCTCGTTTCATGTGCAGGCAGATGACAGCCATATTCCAATAGAGGAAGGTTCAATGGAATATCTGGTGTTGGACCCTGTCAATGACGCACCGTTTGTAGGAATTGATAGCCGTTAATTTACAGGCAGACCTGTGCGGGAAGGGGAGGCGAATTATGCTGTAAAATATGTTATACACATTGTACTAAGTGATTCTATTGGCCTCACACGCCGGGGGCGTAAATGTGGGGTTTAGATGTGCAAGTCTGGGCTTGCTGCGAGGCTTCAGATCGTCGGGCTGAAGTGGATAACTAACAATGGGATCTACCTAGTGATTTGACGTGGGCTCTTCAAGGGGTTTCTCGCCCCCAAATAATATCAGCACTAAGAAACGCCAAAATAGGGCCAAATGTCAAAGTCCAAGTCAAGACACATGGTTGAAACCGGGGATTGTACCGCGCATATTATCTGCCATTCATACCATACATTGTCGTACCGCCAGATTTTCGTCACCAAATTTAATCGTGTTGCTTTAGATGAAGAGTGTCATCAAGGATTTGTTCACCTCCTGTGTGGCCATGCGTCATACAGTCCCTCAAATACTGTCACATCTCCAAATGTCGCTTCTCCTACGCCGTTATGGAAGAAATTGATTTCAGTCGAGTTGGCGTACCAAGAACTTCACGCGGTTAGTTATTGTCCAATCTTTTAGAAATAAGATAAACGTACCGAGCCCAAGTGCTTAGAGCAAACCGTCCATTGGCATATATTTCAAGAACCCCATTATCCACAACGACGGTAAGTTCCAACGTCTCGATTTGTTCTTGTCCATTTTTGAAGACGTCAAAGAGCCGGAGACGGCCCACCTCGTTGGCACTGCTAATTCCATCAGTCGTTTTCGCCGCAGCACTTGTGTTGCTGCGGTCAACGATGATGGACTCGTTAGAAAATTGGTAATAGATAGTTGTAGATTCAATATTGGATGACAGTATCTGGAAGCCAGATTGAATACCGGAGTTGCGAGCAGAGGCTGGGAAAGAAATGTTCGCTGTCAGAACGAAGAACTTGGTGGAGGGTGAGGCGTTGAATGCCACCGACCCAGCCTTCGATAGCGTTTGACCAGACTCCACAGAGGATGAGCCGGACGTGAGAGCGCTGTGAGTTTCCCTAGCAATCGAGATTCCCATGGTTTCGAGGTCAATTTGACCATGTCCCTCGCGAGCCACACGCCACGATGTCAAGGACTCACGGGCAAGCTTGTTATCAACCACGTTGGGAATAGTGCGAACATTCAGCTCCCGCGGCAGCAAGAGAGTGCCTGTCCAGTTCTGTTGAGCCGTAGGGAATCCTTTCGACAGCTCATATAGATCTCCAGTGAGCCAGATGTAGGAAATGAAACGATCGGGAGCACCACTCTTCACAGCTGCCTGAGAGCTTGCTGGCAAGATCTTGCCCGCAGCAGCATACGCCGACAAACCCCAGTCAAGCACACCCGCCATAGTTGGGTTGAAGGAAACGGAGCCATTATTTGTGACATTTCCTGCTACCCACAACATATCATGAATTGAAGACACTTGGGGAACGATAGGAACTTCAGAACTCTCAGTACCGAGGGTCATGAAGACTTCGCCGTCCTCACTGTACCCGTCTGCATTCAGGCTGAAGACATTGCCAACCTCAAAATTGAAGCCCCATCCGCCGGCCCAGTCACCATTTCCCCAAGTTGTATTGACGGGCTCATTCCACCATTGCCCGAGATATTCCCAATATTGGAAATCCGCGTCATGCTGACGGTAGAGAAACTGGCAAGGTCCCACACCGTGGACACCGCCAGAAATGGCGGTATACCAGGTTCCTTGGGTGCCGTTGACAGCCGTGTCTAGGGCTGGGCTCTGGAAAGCGTAGGGATCACGGAAAGCGGTGACATTGACAGCAAACGGAGGTGAGGGGATCACCGGGCCTTGGTTGACCTTGGTGAAGTTGCGTCCACCATCATAGGAAACGGCCAAGGATTGTGTCTCGCTTCCCCGGGTGTAAGGGATAGACCAGTGGATTGGGAGATATGATACAGATGTATATAGAAGAGTTGGCATGCCGTCGATACCGCTTGGGATGACGGAGCCGTCGAAAACAGCAAGAGGGTCATTCTTCCCTCCCGCGATAATTGACGGGCCCCCATTGGGATTGAGGTCTTTATAGGTAGCGAGATCATCCGTTGTAGCTCCTGAAATTCCATCATGAAGCCAGCCCACATGGAATAGACCGGTCTTGGGATCGGTGTACTGCCCGCACGGGTCACCTAGCTTCCCAGATGGAGGGAGGAGATGGGCTCTGGGTCTCCATGTTTCGAAAAGAGATGCATTTGCCAAAGTTGAAAGGTTCGGAGGAGCCGAGTTATAATCAATTTGGGATTTGTGGTAGCCAGCAAATGCCCGGTTGGCCAAAACCACGGTGATTGCACTTGACAGCTTCATAGTGTAGATCTTGGATAATCCTTGCCATCTCCCCGGGATATACACACTTTTATACGTATATGTCGACAATGAGTTTGACCGAGATTAATTGAAAGCGGGAACCAATAGAAATAGGATGTTCTTCAATCTGGAGACCGTTGCGATGCTCATTTCCTCTTTGGATGCATTCGGTAGTTGCCATGAGCCAACGGCGAAACCGCGGGGAAACTCCGGCTGACAATTTCGGACAATTTACTTGATGTAGATGTCCTGGTGTTGACTCAATAATTGATAATTTGGAGGTAAAAGCTACAAATAGAATACCGATTTGCAACGAGAAACAAAACGAGAACCCGAATACCCCCCAAACAACTAGACGGTGTGATTCCAAGTCTCAAGCTCCAGTGTCGTCAAAGGGAAGCCCGCGACGCTGCTAGACTCCTCCAACAAAGTTTCTCCATCATCGCCTTTGAAAACGTACTGGACGGCGTTACGTCCATCTTGGGTTTTGAGAACCATTCGCTCTGTGACTTCGTCCGGAGATTGCATGATGGCAAAAGTCAAGTTCGGTTTACCACAGATGTTGCCAATAACAAGCTTGGATAGTTGATATTTGCGGAGTTCAGATGGGAGCTTTATCCCCCATCTACTATGAAAGACAACGGATTTTCACTCTGCACTCGGCCAACAGAGAGTCTGAATATCAGCTGGCGGAAGGGACTCGATGATAGAGTTTGGGATAGCGACGTGGATGATAACAATTGCGCTACACGCGCTACGGCGTTTAGCATATCCAAAGTGAACCCTGTCATTATTTCCGAAGAGGCTATTGGCCCAAGCTTGGTCGATTCCCGTGCATAGAGTCGTATAGCCCGGTGCATTTGCAGCTGGACTTATTGCAGCTTACGATAAAGCAGATTCGCGTGACAACCAAGGGACCATCCTCAAAGAATCCGAGGTCGATCGTTATCCGGAACCACTAGACCTAGACTGTCCAGGGCGGGAAGCTTCACGTCGACTAGCCATATCACGTTCAAGAGGGACTTCTTATATTGCTTGAAGGCCCCGGTACCATAACTTGAAAGTATCCTGAACCCAGAACTTGCAAGATTCAGTTAGGCGGATATGGCGAAACTTTGGATCCATGGTCGCTTCTTGGGGCTCGCTACTGACCCCGTACAGGTCCATACAGCGGAACCATCTGGCATCATCGTCGTCGCAGGTATCGAGGGAGTTATCAATGTAGCCTTCGGCGACATTGATGAACGGTACACCATGGTGAATGTCATCTAGCTCTCGCTTGGGTCCTCCGGAGGGCCAGTTGGTCCAATGGTCCCAAACACGAGTCGCAGTTTAAGAACCATACCCAATATGTTCAAGGGTAGCGAAGATGTATAGCAGGTATGTATGAATTATGCATCTATGGAATTGTGATTATCAATAGCATGAGTGTTATCATCCTTGTTTCAATTTTATACTTCCCTGCGAGGTACTTAGCCAAATGATGAAGAACTGTGTCTCCATTGGAGTCCGGCTGGAGAAAATCAACCCCCATTTCAAGAAGATTATCAATAAGACCAAAGTTCTCTAGCGGGTGCGGTCAAAGAATGTGTGATTCCTCCATATCGAGTGCATACTTCGACAGTTCGACGACATATGTAGCAAATGGGTCTGCGCCATGATTGAGCAGTATTGCCATTATACGGGCGTAAAGGTACATTGTCGTCCATATCGTTTGGACTGAAACATGCCTTGCTATAATTAGACTCACTGAATTACAGTGTAGGGACACCGACAAAAGGAAGAGGTGAGACTTCAGAATCAAGAATACGGGGGGTGGGAGTGGCTTTTCGCTCGAGGGTTCACTGGCTCAGGTCGCCTGATATTCGTATAAATTTTAGTAATGTCTCCAGTATCTCAATTTCACCCAATTCAATCACAGAGAACATGGCCGCTGCAGTAAGGTGGGCGCTGTGCGCCATGAGAAGCCTGGTCATCTCTAGATCATTGCCAGCTTTTGACAAACATGTCTCTCCGTTGGCGTCCACAGCATCTATATCTGCCCCGCCCTCGATAAGAGTCTTTGCCGCATTTCTGCGGAAGGGGCGGGGTGCGCGGCAGGGATTCAAAGCTACATGTAATGGAGTTACTCCATCTTCACCACACAGCTCAAGGTTCGCGCCCTTTTTGATCAAATACGGCAATGCTTTGTAAATATGCAACGCCCGAGTGCGATGAAGAGGACATACTACTCTATCCACTTATAAAAATTTGTAAAAGCCGAAAAGTAAATACAATCTTCGAGGGCTGATAGCTGATCACACGAAGCCCTACAGCCCGGGAGCCCGGTGGCGTGGCCCCCAGCTTTGAGATTGGGGGCTAGCGCATGGCATAGCGCATGGCATAGTCCACAAGGCAAACTGCACTGTGCTTCAATTAGGCCGAGATTTATGTGCGTTGGTCTAGCTCTATATTTAGCACTTTGGTACATTCTGATGATATGTACGCTACTTCACCAACGACATTTGCGTCGTCTGATAATTGTTGAGCAAGGGTGATTTGGTTCATTTCACCCAGCAATGATCTGAAACCAATTCATAGAATAACATATACAAGATGACTGCTAAGATATTCCCACGCATGAAAACCCGGTATCCTTCCCTTCGAATATCCATATACACATTCAATCATGAGACAAAAAGAAACCTAAATCTTATCCGAAGAGTACAGACGAACAGGCACGCCAAGATCATGCGACATCGTAATAGTGGATAGCTTGACAGGCTCCTGTCGAGGATGGGGGTCCGCGTTTTCGAGGGTATCGAAGTGCTGCATCAGACGAACGAGGGTGTAGCTTGCCTCAGTGAGAGCGTATTGTTCTAAAAATTGATTGTCAGCAGGTCATTCAAACGTTTTGTAATTTCGTCTTTCCCAAAAAAAGACAAGGACATGCACAACTTACGACCAAGGCAGATACGCGGCCCGCCATTGAAAGGCAGGTATTCCCAGCCATGCTTAGCATTTTCCTCCCAGCGCTCGGGTCGGAAAGAAGTTGCGTCCTTGCCCCATAGGTCCGTCCGGCGGTGCATTGCGAAGACGTTGTAGGCGACCATGGTGCCCCGGGGGATATACACTGGGGACTGGCAGTCTGCGCCACCACCGACCGGTAGGGAGGTGTCTTTGGTTGCAACACGGAAGTTGACAGGCACAGGAGGTTGGAGACGAAGGACTTGGTTGGAGTTAGTCGAAAATTCATCGACAGAGTATACATAGTATCCACTGCAAACTGCAATATTCACCCACCTTCATTCAACACATATCGCAGATAAGGAATATCCTTCAGCTTGGTCTGTGTCATTTCTGATCGTGGATGCTTCGCGTCTCCGAAAATATCTATAATCTCACGACGCAGCCGGTTCCACACACTAGGGTAACGGGAAAGGTAGAAGAACGCCGAGCTTAGCAGACTGGCCGTGGTATCGCGGCCGGCCAATAGAATGTTAAGCATGTTATCACGTAGAATCTTGGGGTCATCTGTGTCGGCCGCCAGAGCTTCGAGGAAGATATACCGACCTTCGGCGTCCTTCTTTTCGGGGTTACGTTTCGACTCGAGAGCGAGATTAACATAATGATCGACGACTTCATGCACCTGTCGGTTTGCCTCGCGGAATTCCTTGGGATTGACAACCCAATACAAGCCCTGGGCACGACTCCGTGCAGCGAGATAATCCTGAGCGGTTCCGAAGGCATTCGCAAACCCTTGGGCGCTACCCACAGCACATTTTTCCAGCACCCCAGTCTTTGCAGAAGGCGGGAGCATACAGCTGACGGATTCCCCGAATAGGAAGTGCGTTGCTGAGTCCATGGTTAGCAAGAAAAACAAACGCTGGATGTCGAAACTGCTCCTGTCCTTGGGGATTAGGTCGATCAGGTTGGAGATGTGATCATCCAGCATAGTAAGATCGGCGACCTGTAGCCTTTGTCAATCACACGTGCATGAATCTTGGAATTCCTCCAATAGAGTGTACCTGGTCCCTGGTAAACTGCGGGCGCAATAATCCCCGCGCATGTGACCACCCGGCACCATCAAGGGTGAAGATTCCATCGCCCAGGAGTGGGTAGAATTGTTGATGTCTTGTTCCAAGAGAGAAATCTTTGAATTGAGTCGCGAGAAGTGCCTTGACATTTTCAGGCTCTATAGTGGTCATTATATGTTGAGAGAGGAATCTCTGTTGGTAGGTATTTCCATAGATAGCATATTCGTTGTAGAGATGATCGATCCAGCGCTTTTCGCGGACAGCCTTGGTCAACCGAATAAAACCTGGAATACCGAAGAAAGCCGAGGAGCCCGAACGGGGAGGTTTGCAATGTAGAGCTTTGGACTGTTTACGGTGGTGGTGGAGCTGTGCGAAGTAGCGCACGACCAATAAGGCCGCGGACAGCGCAACAAAGGCAACTGTAGGGCTGACCGTCATTTTGTTTTAATATATCTCCATAGATCGAAAGAAAAAGCAATTAAATATGTAAAATTTGGATCTAAGTCAAATGATATATGTTCATGGCCTCGGTAAAGCTTCACGTGAGAAAAAGCGGGATCGCAAGCTGATACAAAAGGGGAATAGTGCTAAACTATGAAAATCCAAATGAGATCAGACCACGTCGATCTCTCTTTACTTGGCTTCGAAACATTCAAGCCACTCTGTCAAAGCAGTGGTAAAGTATTTCCGGGAAATCGCACCAGGTGCAAACGTCGTACGGAAATCAAAGCAGTGCTCCGCATTCTGCATGATGTAGCCAAAAACCGTGCTCTCGTCCGTCTCCACATTGCATTTGGGGATCTCCGTCGTGTGAGTCACTCCATGCGGGGCTAGCCTTGTACCAGCGGCAAGAGGAGACAATGTCCGCCAAGGATCAAACTGGCCGCCGCTCCAGTAAACGTTGGACGGACGAATAGTCCATCCGCCGGTCTCCGCGTTGGTTGCTTCAACCTGCGGGTGTTTGGGGAACAGACCCTTCTTGATAGCCTCTGGAAAGTATCGGTTGCAGTACTCCTGCGCATATTCAAGGGTCTGGAATTTTGACAGCAGCGAGTGAGGTCCAAAGTTGTTGGTCTGGTAGTATCCCCATTCAGTGCAGTACTGCCACGTCCAGCTGATGGTGTCCGGGTCGGTGGACGGCGCCGACAGATCGCACACGAGCGGCTCGCTGGTTTCAAGCTTTCTGCAGTTGGTCTCGAAATAATTGTTGGTCAACTGCGTGAAAACCGGCCATGATGCATATCGTTCCGCGGCATACTTATTACCCCGGGTTGGGGCGAATCCATGTGGGGGCGCCGCGGTGCTAGTCTCCGGATCAATCTCCATGTGCTCGCAGAAGGAGTCCAGACTGCCTTTGCCGCCACCCAGGCCGTACGACTGGAAGAGCCAGTAAATTGTCTGGAGCGCGGCGGAGAAATCCTTGTTACTGTTTTTCTCGGCGCCTTCGCCGAAAAATTTCCGCTTGATGGCCGCCGCGGACGCTTTGCTCTTCGAGAGTTGCCAGTCGATGTACTCCAATGCAGCCTTGATGTCCCTAGTGCAGTTCAAGTGTCCATTCGCCACCATGCCATCATACACCTGGTCGAAATAAACGCTCATGTCGATCCGTGCTTCCACGGGAGCGGAGGAAGCGAAGGCGGCGTAAATAGTATCGGGATACAATTGACGAGTGAACGCAGATCGCATACCAGCGTACGAGCCTCCAACCATGACCCATGGAGTTCCGGCTGGGGTCAAGTCCACCTCACTGTAATTTGCACGAGTGAACTTGTCCGCAAAGAATGGTAGGTCTGCCAAAGCCTGTTTGTTATTGAGGTACTGGAAATGCTCAGGCTCCGTGTCTAGGCTGACGTTGAAGGGAAGGGACTCCCCATAGTATCTAGTTGACGTTAATTGAGTCCAACCTTTTACTAGGGACAGGACACAAACCGGTGCTCCCAAACGATACCAATTCCTCCGAACTCCTCAACCAGCTGATAAAAGAACGAAGTCGAATTGCCCAGAGTAAATGGAACTCCAGATTCGGCCGAAGCTTCACCACCATCATACACAAAGACTGGCCCTCCTTCCTTGTAATGCTGTTCGGACACCCAATAGCGGTTCTTGTAAGTACCAACCGAAGAGTTGCTGTGATCAATCGGAAGCTATGAATTGTCAACATTTATCTCCGTCTTCAAGCTGCTTTAAACAATCCCCAGACACATACCGAAATATACTCTGCCTCGATGGTCCTATCAACCTGGGCACTGGCAATAGCATGTACCGAAGTCTTTTGATTGAGCAGATCATCCGGGTGAATGCCCAGATCAGCGGAAAGCCTCAGATCGCGCTTGAATGCCGATGTTAAAATTCCTGCAGCTGTACCAGACAGCGCAGCTAGGACAACAGTAGAAAGATGCATAGCGACAGTGGCCTAGGAGTCTCTCAAAACCCCAGTCAAGGATACACAGACGCAGAGCAGCTTTCGATGGTCTCCACTGCCGGGTCTGTCGCGGAATATATATATATGCACTACGGAGATGGGTTACCGTTCTGGAAATGATAACGCAGATGAGGGTAGATTGGGCTATTACCCCGGGAACAATACGAGAAGAACCCTATGGTTGCGTTTACGGCCCGCTGTCATCTGGAACGTTAGGTAGATTGTGGATTCGGGGGACCTGATAGGATCAAAGATCGGTGAGCATAGAGGCGCAGGCACACCCGAGACATGGCCGTCGCGTGCGGCCAGTAGCTGTATCTGTATGACCCGGGGCGACAGGTTACAGAGTCTAACCCCTGGGGCCAAGTTCGATGTAACCTACCTATGAGGACTAAGACGCAAGTCTCGAATTAATTACCACAATTACCCCTCGTTTTTTTATTATCGAACCTCTCATACGGTCTAATAAATGTGCATGAACGTGCATTGCGTTAGTGATGCTAGCTCATATCGACTATCACTACCGAATTCGGTAGGAATGCGGCAGATTCAGCGAACAGAATCCTAAAATCCTGTGTTTCTCGAATACGATTAGTTGAGTCTCTTGTCCAAGGCTGAGCAACACACTTCCGCATCTGGTTGTACCTAAATTCAGACACGCGATGTCTTCGCCCCCGTACCTGGTGGATCACGAAACGGGCTGTGGCATGGGAGTCGCTCATTGGCCCTTGAGAGTAGCAATGATTAACCGGACTCCGAACAATAGCCGGAGCTTAGTATTGTTTGTATTTTAATTGTTTAATTAGCTTCGTATCTTTGCCGATAAATCATATTGGTCTCGGGGAGCTTCTCAGGATCATGTCTGGGACCAGGAGTGGAATGTTGATCCGGAATGTCCAGGCATTACATTATAGCCTCAGATGGTATTCCGTGCGCTTTTCTTGGGGCTCCCCCTGTCGATTTCCTCTCTTCCCCTCTTTTCTTCTTTTCCTTCAAATCATAATGTGACACGGAACGGGGGTCCAAGATACAGAAATAGCAGCAATCAAGGCGACAAGAGACAATAATGTCATGGTTGTGTGGCTGTGTAGATTTTAGGAGAGGGAGTTACAGGTATCTTGAGATAAGACAAGGTCTAACAATCTAAGCTGCAGTTTAGAATCGTCTAAGCCTCTCTAAAAAAAACTATTCGTTATCAATCTAATACCAGCACATGCTTATATCGACTCTGTGCAAGGTCGCACGACAGTTTCCCTTTGTCTTGTAGACATCTAACCCGGCGATATATTCAAACGCGCACATGTATTCTAAGGCTGAACATTGTACAGAGTATTCATCTTTCCGCTCACCATCATTCTCAGAACAATGATTGGAGATAAAGCCACACCGGGAGCACATTATGGTGAGAGAAAGGAGGACCAATTTGTATCCTAAAACGGAAGGTGAAGCGAGGCCTCTCGGCATGCCTTCTGTTTACATCCCCATCTCCCATCCCGTCGCTTTCCCCAGGCTTCGGCTATAGACTTCGCGCTCGGCTCGATTTGCGACTCTGATCTTCAGACTGACTCTGATGATCTGCAACAATTAAAGATGTCATCTTTGTTCCACAAACGGTAACTGGCGTCCACGAGTACTTCAACCCAGTTTCTAACTCTATAAACTGCCAGCGTATAAAGCCTGGCGTCTGACACGAACAAGACCCCTCTTTCCTCGGTGGTATATTTTCTTGAATAACCGCCTTTTCGTGAAGAAAGTATCGAAGCAATCATGCCGGAATCATCTCGCCTACACGACAAAGTAGCCATTGTCACTGGGTCCTCATCAGGCCTAGGACAGGCGATCGCAATTCGTTATGCCCAAGAGGGGGCGAAAGTGGTCTGCACCGATCTAACACCAACTGCGCGATCCCAAGAAGAGGCTGGGATTACGACGCACGATCTGATCAACAGGGACGGTGGGCAGGCGAGTTTTGTGGAGACAGATGTCGGGGATGCAAAGCAGATGGAGAACTTAGTCCAAGCTGCCGTGATACAATATCGACGACTGGACATGTATGAAAATCCAATAATGGACATCTTGAATAACCCCTCTGACGAGTTCCCTTAGTCTGGTCAATAATGCTGGGATTAGCATCGAGGCACGGACACCTGCTGTGCTGCACCTGACTAATGAGACCACTTGGGATACGACGATGCGTGTCAACACCAAGTCTGTGTTCCTGGGTTGCAAGTATGCTCTTACTCAAATGCTGGCGCAAGAACCTCATTCTTCCAGAGATCGGGACTGGATCATCAATATCTCTTCAATTATGGGTATGATTGGTGGGCCGGAGAATCGTGAGTTCTAGTTATCTATGATTCTGAGTGTCGCTGATACTCGATCTAGCATCGTACTGCGCATCAAAGGGTGCTGTCAGTAACCTAACGAGGCAGATGGCTCTAGATTACGCCCCTTATAACATTCATATCAATGCCATTTGTCCTGGCTGTAAGTTAATTAGTTACATGCTTGGCTAAACGTCCATCAAAAGATTCCAGATACTCAGACGGCCATCTTCAAGGAGACAACTACTAACTTGACCCCTTGGGAATACCTAAAAAGACGCCATCCGCTGAAAGGCCCTGGAATGCCAGATGATATTGCTCGTATAGCTGTTGTGCTGGCAAGTGATGACGCCAGCTGGGTGACTGGAATTTGTCTTCCAGTTGACGGTGGATATACTGCTCGTTAAATACTTCACTATTAGTTGGTTGACGCTTTATTGTCTTCTAGCTCTTATGCGTGACGACTGGAGAGCTCTATATTATATTCCCAATATTGCTATCATAAGCAAAACGACATACCAGAGTTAAAATAGTGCAATGGGCTGCAGACATGTAAGACTCCCCGTAAGATCTTGTCGATGAGAAAATAATCCCAGCGTGCAAGATTAGGTACGAAGAGGAGCAAGTCCCACAATAAAGACAAGTTAGACAAGGCTTTGCCCAAACTTGGACAATATTATATAGACTAAGTGTAGCAATTCTATGATGCCTTTTTTCTATAATCCACAAAGTCTTGTACCGGCATTAGATGATGCATCCGGGCTCCTTTTGTTAAGAGATAGTGCAACGGCCACTCCATCTTTAGTCCATGGGGCACGATTCCAGAACTAAGCAAAGGCATCACCCGCAATCCATCGGGTCAAAATGTCAAACGCCACATCACCACGATTCTGGGGAAGCTATTATAGCCATCAGCATCTGCTCGGATAAACATGTCTGAACCGATGAACTCACCATATGGCCTGCCCCATTAACCGTCACAAATGCAAACCGCGATGCCTCTGACAGGCCGTCCAACTGTACCCAGACCTCTTTCGCGGTGCCGACCGTTTCATTACGTCCCGCAACAATTGATGTCCAAGGAAGCAACTGCTTCGATGTAAACTCAGTCTGTCCCTTCCATGCGAGCGAGTTCGCCCATCGGAGGTTTCCTGCCGTGTTGCAAGCTAAGTCAAGGTTTCCTTGGTAGGCTAGGAAATGTACCCCATGAGCAAGCAGGAAAATGATATGGTCGGAGGAAGATGTCATCGCCTCTGGTGTTGTTGCAAAGGCGTCAACCACCGCGCTGGATTCCAATTTGTACCCCTTGGCCCCTTCCGGCGGCGATAGGGCTTCTCGGACCACAGGGGAGTTCAGATACTGCTCGATGTAGCCGGCCTCTTCGTAGCATATATCATCAATGTAGCATGGGGCAGTGACTGTTGATTTCCTTGCGTTAGAAAAGTGACCAATTGGTAGTAGATAGGACGATCTTACTGTCGAAGCGGTTACGGCCTCCCTTCTTGCTCTCATCCTCGTACAAACCGACAATTCCTTTGTAGCAAACAGAATATGCCGCTGTGCAAATTGCAACGTCAGGACTTCTAATGCAAGTATCGTAGAGCTCCATGCATCGTGGCATGTTGGCAGCTATCATATCGCACCGGGTCTGGTTAAACACGGGCGCGGAAACGCCAGGATTGGTTGTGCAAAGCGTCTCCCAGTACCCGAAGGTAATGTCTTTGGATGACATGAAGCCATTACCTATCAGACATGACTTGAGGTTGATCTGGGGCTCTGAGGGATATTGCTGGTTGTGAGTCACAATCTCAACCCCGAGGTAGGGGATGTATTTGCCCTGAAAGTGTCAGTGGTGCGTACAAAGTGACAAAGGGCAAGTCTTACTGCATAAGATTCACCGGAGATATGGAAAGGCGAGTCGCGTTTGTGTGGGAAGACCTCAGATACAAATATTTGGAGAAAACGGTGCATGTCAACTGCGGCCTCGTGAGAATCGCGCGGTACCTCGTGCCCCTCGTCAATATAGGACCAGCCCACATCGGCCGGCTGGTCAACGAAAAGTAACGAGGAGTTTCGAGACCAACCCCATGGATTATAAACGGTCCCATTTCCGTACTCATTTACCAGACATGGGCCATTTTCTTCGAACAGGCCGATCAGACTGGAGCCTCCGGGCCCACCATTCATCCATAACGTTAGTGGGTCAGCGATGGGGTCATTCTGACTTTCAAAGTACCAGAAGAACAGGTGCTTCGGCCCAATATCTAGCCATCCAGTGTACTGCGCCGAGCCTGCAGCACAGATAGACTCGTTTTGTTGCCGGATACGTATCGAATGAGGTGAATTTGCACTTCGAAATGTGGTGAAGTCCGATGTCGAGGGCTCTGGTCGGAGCACGGTCTGCGACGCATGGCCCACGCCGACTAGGGTAGCAATCCAAAATTTCCACATTTCAGTGACGAATGAAACTTGTTCTGGAAACAAGATCAACAATGGCGAAGTTGGTTTTATAATCGATCAGTGTTACATTAAAAAAGTCGGGGCTCGGAGTTCGGACATCGGGCCTAGCCAATATGGTATGGCGAATCTGTCAGCGCTAAGAGGCTTTAAGCGTGATTTATTCGCTTTAGAAACAGCAAAGTGAAGCTTGTCCCGCTATTCCTCGCGCGGCTATAACTGAGCGGTGTATTCCCCAGTTAATCTACAAACCATCTAGTTTTTTTTTACCTACTCGTGACTCTCTGAGCTGCCAATTCATTGGATAGATGGTTCTAAACTTGGGCTTTGGAAGGAGAATCTTTGTCATCTTTTCTCGCACTGGCTGTGGTGAATAGACGCTAATATGTCATCTGGAGAATAAGAAGAAAATAGGAAGGAAGAAAGATGAAGGCGAAGAGGGGGGATTTATACCCCCAGCAAACGCACTTTCCCATCATGGAGTGTTCGGTTCTTTCCTACTTTGTACGTTGTTGCTATGTCAACAAGGTGCGGTGAATCCCTTGGACCTCACGAGAATGCGGAGAATTATAAGGCATATTTCATAGTCCCCTCTAGGAAAGTTGGCTCCTTGAAAATAATCGACACGTCAGGGCACTTTGGAGCTTAACGAGCAGCTTAACCTTGAAAATCCGCTCCCCTTCAATATGTGCTTACTGGGTTGATTTTTCATGGAAGGATATGTATGGGATAGTTCGCCTTCCAAGGAATATTACTACTAAGCTGATAATGATACTAAACCCGTAGACCTCCAGAGCTCTATCTCCGTTCCTTCCTCCAAATGCGGCTAGGGAGGGCGAGTCATCCACTGGAGCCAATCAACACTGCCATAATATCCACTGACACTCCACCCACTAACCGTATATGGTTAGTGCGTTGTCAGCATCAGCGGCATATACTTGGGCACAAATATTGCTCTCTCGCGGACTTAAGCATTCGGAGGAAACGAAAGGTATATAATAGATGTTGCTCCCCCTTACTATATCCTTTGATCTCCATTCTTGACATTAATCTCAACAACCCAAACAATCTACAAAATGCATCTTATTCTCACAGGGGCAACCGGGTTAGTCGGGTCTTCAGTACTCGACGCCATGCTCAAAAATGCAGCAGTGTCCAAGATCTCAATCCTGAGCCGAAGCCCCGTGCGAATGGCAGAAGACGCAAATGATCCCCGTGTGCACGTCATCGCCCACAAAGACTTTGAATCATACAAGCCAGAGCTGCTCGACCAATTGAAAGATGCGGATGGATGTGTTTGGGCCCTGGGGACCAGCCAGACCAATGTCACCAAAGAGTACGTGAGATCCCTTTGATATATGGGTATAAAAACTGACAATTAATAGGGAATATGTTAAGATAACTAAGGACTATACCCTGGCAGCTGCCAATGCGTTCTCCACAATCAAGCCACCAAACCACCCATTCCGATTCATCCACGTATCTGGTGAAGGGGCCACCCAGACTCCCGGACGATTCACGCCAATCTTTGCCAGAGTAAAGGGGAACACTGAAATGCTTCTCGGAACACTATCAGAGCAAAAGCCGACCATTCGGATCGATAGCGTGAGGCCCGGATTCGTTGATTCGGCGACGCACGATGCCATCAAACCATATATCCCGTCTGGCGGAGTGTCTGGAGTCGTCGCAAATCTTGGATTGGCTTTACTTGCACCGGGAATACGGTATCTCATGAAGTCGATGCACTCTCCAACGGAGCACCTTGGTTCATTCTTGACGCAAATGGCTATGGGACGCCATGAAGAAAAGTTGCAGGGCCCGGGGGTATTCAAACTGGGAGGAGGTTATGTCGTTGTGAACTCTGGTATGCGGAGAATTTTGGGGCTGTGAGCATCCAAGGGACTATTATGATAGGAATGGCTCGATATGTATATAAAACCATGTTTAATAAGATAGATACTCTTCCGTTTTCTATTCTGGATTGTCCCTAGTAACCTAAGGTAAATGAACCGAATGATTCTAGACCTTCACCCACATCTCAAATTGCGGTGCCCAAGTAGTGTAAGGAAGCGTTGAGTTTGGTATCAGCATTCATTCTGTGTACTTGGGGAAATACACATCCCATTTCCATTTCGACACCTGTGGACTCCCTTCCCTGTCTTCCCCTCCTGGGCGCATACCCTTTGTCCGTCATAAAATTATGCATCAGCACCCAATGAAATCCACTTCCGACCTCATAGATTCAGAGTTAGAATTCAAAGGACTTCTGGAAGACTTTACAGGGCCACATAAGCGGTCAAATATTCTCGTACAACATAATGTACACACATTTGAAACAAGCGTGTATTGGTCGAAAATTTTCCATTGCATATTTGTCGACTATGGTGAAACCAGCACGCCCTATCGGTCAAATAGAAACGAGAATTTAATCCCTATTTACAACAAGAAACCCGGGTGATCCTGACTCGAAAAGAAACCAAATGTCGTTTATAGACACGTTTGATGTCCTCTATTGAGCCCCATCTTGGGTAGGAAAATGGATGAGACGCGTCACAACGTGTCAAAGATTCACGCTGATGTCCACTCATTAGCGCGATGTTTTTCTTTGTTACCACAACGCAGTACAGATTTGGAATTTCCTATCCAATCAACCCCATGTTCTCGGGGACATCGAATGTTTGGTCGGAGCTCACAGAACGCTGATCTCGCCCTGTAAACGTACCTCAATAAACAATCCTGCCCATCTGAATGAGTAATTGCTTATCTACAACATGCCACCAACTTGCACCCATTAGGAATATAAATACAGAGACGAACTGCTGTTATCTTGGATCCGCCACGCCCCAATCTACTTTTCTTCTACACACGATGAAATACTTCCAACTTGGCAACATCCTCGCTCTATGCAGCATGATTCTAGCAACTGTAATTGCAGACCCCGCGCCCAATCCTGCATGCATACAGAAAGGAGGAGGTCCCAGGAGACCAATTGCGCTGGACCCCTCGTGTTATTAAGGCCTGTCTCTCCATTAGAGAAGACAAGCTTGTGGCAAAGCATGTAAGTGCAGTTCTGGCGCTTTCATCCTGAAATATGAGCTTACTTGCTTCTCAGTTGTGCTTCCGGGCGTAATTAGCCAACTTGTCTAGTTGACCCCTCCGCCTCGGTTGCATTCCCATCTGGGATGCATATATTTGGTTCGGAAGTGGTGTGCGACTTTTTGCTACTTGTGGCTTCCAATGTTCTCGGTATTTTGTAACGGTCTATCATGTATGACCCAATCTCTCGAACTTCACCCTGGTTTCTTTGTTAACTATGTGTGCGGTGGCTGGATTCATTTCAATAGTCAACTAACTCTCGGGTTTTTTTTCTCGAGCAGGCCATAATTACATGTAGTATCGGCCTTATGATCTCTTCGTACTATCATGGCTTACGTATTTTCTTGGTCGCTTAAATACCCCCCTTTTGTAGAATCTAAGAGAAGTTCCCAACAAAGAAAGTTATATAGGTTAAACGTCATTTTCGTGGGACATGTCTGTTTTGGCCTGACGACCAAGGCAGTAATTCCGTGCACTTTTAAGATGGATAACCGTATATCCAATCAGCTGGCTTATTTTCCCATTGAAAGCGATTAGTGCACATATTAAAGAACCCCTGGACGACATCCAACTTCCAATGTCTGTCTCGGCCTTTCGGGGAAAAAGGTTCCGCAGTCCGGACACTGGAGTGATCCTTTTCCATTTAATCGAATCAACCCGATCGGAGAATTTATCTGTTTGTATTAAGATATCCATCAAGCATCATGATGTTTCAGGCTGAATCAGATTCCTCGACTACTACAGGCGCCCCATGGCATTGAAACAAGCATCCCCCCACACGGAGTCCCCACACGGAGTTCCAGGGGGCCTAGGTAGGGCTACGAGCTGCATTCGTTCAGGAGAATACGTACCCCTCACGGAAGCTGTCCTTGTGGTTATTTTAAACCAGCGGCCTTTGCGTCAAGTCTGCAGACTATCCATTCCTCAAATGGAAATCATTCAACTGCCAAGCAATCAGGAACACCACGTATTGGTGGAACTATGCCTAAATTCACGGAGAACTGTTCAGGAACGGAGCACTAGCTAGCTGCCAAATCTCCACCTTTCAGCATGCAGAGTTTCAGCATGAAGAACGTAAAGTTTTCTCTTATATATTATACTGCTCCTCTGCCCCTTCATGTATTGCGTGGCACGAGCAGATTTCTCTACAGTACACGCTGGACATGATGTTTTTCAAGTCTTTGGCCATTGTTTCGCTAGCCCTTTTGGCTAAGCAAGCATCCGCGGCCTTCGGAATTACTACCAGCACTGCTTCCTATGTCATCGATGCTGGCTCTTCAAATCCCCTCAAGTTTACTGTCAGTCGGACAAACTGTGACATTACTTCGATCAATTACTATGGATCCGAGCTTCAATACAAGTCGACTGGGTCTCACATCGGATCCGGCCTTGGTAGCGCAACTGTGACTGCGACTCAAAGTGGTGGGTCGAGAAACAAAATGTCTGTTGGAAATCGCTGATCAATATAGGTGACTACATCAAGGTGACATGTGCAACGTCCACCTTGACACATTACTACGTTGTTCACAATGGAGATTCAACCATCCACATGGCAACATACACAACTGCAGGTTCGTCTCCTTTGTGCTCAAGTGTAGTCTCGATCTTATTTATTTTCCTTAGAACCGAGTATTGGAGAACTTCGATACATCGCGCGCCTGAACGCAGACCTGCTTCCTAATGAAGAGCCATTCGGCGTTGTGTCCAATATTGGAGGTGGTAGTGTTGTTGAGGGAGAGGATGTGGTAAGTCAAGCGTTTTTCAAGTGGAAAAAGCAACAGTTAACACATATCAGTTCTTGGTTAGTGGACAAACACGAAGCAAGTTCTACTCTAGCGAGCGGTTTATCGATGACAAGATCCACTGTAGGAACACCTTTGTCCTGTTTTATACAACTC